CTGAATCCTAACAACTACATGTTGGTAGACTTTGATGTTACCTGAATCCTAACAACTTAATGTTAGTAGACTTTGATGTTACCTTAATCCTAACAACTACATGTTGGTAGACTTTGATGTTACCTTAATCCTAACAACTTCATGTTAGAAGACTTTGATGTTACCTTAATCCTAACAACTACATGTCAGTAGACTTTGGTGTTACCTAAATCCTAAAAACTACATGTTAGTAGACTTTGATGTTACCTTAATCCTAACAACTACATGTTGGTAGACTTTGATGTTACCTTAATCCTAACAACTACATGTCAGTAGAGTTTGATATGACTTGAATTTTGACAAGAGACTAAGATATAATCTGAATGCTAACAAGCAGATAATCTATATGTTACCCGGATTTGATTTAATCAATGGGCCCTATGATGAGTTGTTGTTATCTCACTATGACAATGGTTCGGTTGCTATATTCCTATTAAATACACATTCAGTTGATGTCATCTTTCTTTGTCTTGTTATAAGGTGAAGTCAGTTACCTATAACTAAACATTTATGTCGGCATTAATCAAGATTAAGTAATGAATATTTCTATATTTGTGTTAATAATATTCGATAAATAATGCAGGAGAATGATTATCAATTGAAAAGTCTTGTCAAGAATATTGAATGTATTTCAATTATATTGAATTTCTTTTCATTCGTTTACGTCAACAAATAATTATCAGCAAATTTATCATGTTTAATGTGTGCATAACATGCAATACGTAATGCACTATTTCAGGCAAGGGCTCGATCAGTTATCTGATTAGTGGCAACAGATAACGTAGAAATAAATTGATGTCAAGGTACCCTGTCTAGCCGTTGATGTATCCATATTTAGTAACACGTGGGGAATCGATAACAAAGTTAATAGTCGGAGCAATAGCATTGAATGCTACTTAATGATTTACATTTATACTTTAATCCCGACATTTTGGTTTCCATAGCAAAGACATGAAACAACGAATATATGCTTTAACGAAACATGGCCTATTACCATTTCTTTTGACCAATAATCGAGTTCTGTTGCGTCGCTTTGCAATATCCCATAAATAAATATATCTAACTGTACTTTAATTATACAAATAAAGAAAGAATGGGCTGGGGGAATATCCTTCAGGCCAGTTTTTAAAAAGAATTCTGCAATTTAACAGTAAAAAATGTGATCAATCACAAAAATGCAGGCAATGTATCCATATAATTTACATATACCCACAGCTGTAAAACAAACGTCCTTTGAATTTTGGATAATGTCATAGGGACAACATGAAATACTGTCGCCTTTATATGTGTGTGAAGTATTTAAACATCACCTCCATTATTAGTTATATCTGTCAATTATGTGACTAAACGTCTATTGTCGACGAAGCAGAGAGTAGATGATAAGCTTTTCAGGAAATCCTGAATTTTAAACAAACTCTGTTATTGAAATCCTTGTATCCAATGCATTTTAAAGAATGTAACTTTAACGGAAAATGAAATTTATATAGCGATTTCACATTGCTGATTTTAGTATTGATAAACCACGAACTCAATTCAGATTCGCCCGAGCTTACAAAGAGTTTACTCAAGTCACGATGTAGAATGAGAAGCAGAGTTTACACAAAAACACAGAGAGTGGATGAATGACATCTAATCAAGTTTACATGAATTGTATTAAATCATGAAATACATTACACACCCTTTCCGTGTTAAAATGTTGCATTTGGTTATTTTCATGCAGACAGTTTAACAGCTCACGCACGATTAAGCTGCATTGAGTGAGAATTATGGAAAACAATCTAAGGGTGTCTTTGAAAACAACAAAGAAAATACCAACATGTTAACAGAGCGTTAATTCAAACTCAAATTGATGAAACTAAGGCAAATTCGGAACACTGCAACAGCACAAGATTAAGACGTGGTGTTCCGGAAACAAGGATAACAACCAGGCATACTAAGGAGCGTAAAATACGTCCAACTGCATATCACACAATACAACTGGATGTTTCACAATGCGATCATGATGACAACCATGAAAGTCCCCCCATAATCTTTATACCCTTTATAAAATATAAAGTTATCAGGTAACAATTATGCATGGTTATTGTATAATAAGACACACTAAACCTGGCGTTGAGGGTAGAATATACCATTACATTTGTGGATATGACGATATTTTTGATAGTGAGTGGTGAGTAGGTAGTTAAAAAATGAGAAACGACTACTTTCGTCACAAATATCAAGATTGATTTTCTCTGCGTGGATGTATCATTGAACACATTGCTGCATTTTATGTTTTACTGTTGAAGAGTCTTATCGGTCTTACACGTTTCTGTTTCTATGATCAAGGATCGTTTTAGCTTGATGTGTTAAAAGACCATCTCTCATCACTAACTGATTACCTTAATCAATTCTATCACCACATAATTTTTAAAAATCGGATAAGAGCAGCGACATGGAGTTCAGATATGAAATGCTATATAAAAACATTAACGAAACATACATATTTTTTTCTTTTTCATTCTTTGAATTCCAATTGTCGTTCACTTGTCCCTTGAACAACCGTTAAATTCCTGTTGAGAAGAAGATTTTAATGGTTTACCGTTACTCCTCCGCGGAAAAAAGAGTTTCATTTGTTAACCATTTATCAATATGCTAGGAATTTGGTTATCGGATTTCCATTCAGTGACAACTATTTCAGAAATATAGACAATGGGTATCTCATAATAAAAACCGTAGTTTACTGTCGGTTTAAGTAGGGCACGCTTGATAACAATACATCGTGTAACACATACCTTTATAGCTTCGTAACATACACCAGTACAATGATATCTTTTTACGACTGTCAAGATTCTGGTTTCATCCGTGGTAATCGGCAAGGACAGAAAATAATTGTTATTTTAACATTAATAACACCTTTTGTACATTTGCCAACATGATATCATACTTTACAAATCATTTTCACTACATAAACAAACTGTGTCAAGTATAATCACAGTAGGAATAGTAATAAAATAACAATATGCTGAAATATATACTACTTTAATGCGATTTTGTTCTCTCATTGAATACCATATAAAAACCGTCTCGGGCATTGTTATAACAGGGTATCATTAACAGTGACGCCGCTGAGGTACCAAACTAGATCCGCGGTTTTAATAAAATCAGAGTCAGCGAATAGTATGATACATCTACAAAATTATTATGTTTTCTTAATATACCTGTTTACATCCGTTTACAGATGAAAATGCTATTTTTCTTGATACCTTGTTTTATTGTATAAGGTAATTTGTTTCACAAAATGTCAATAGTGTGTCTATAAATATATCCCTATTAGATATCCCTAAAACAATTATCACCATTCTGCCGCAGCAACTACAAATGTCAATAGTGTGTCTATCTATATATATATATATATATAAATATATATATATATAGTGTGTCTATCCTATATATATAAATATATATATTTATCATATCTCTAAAACATTGTTCACCATCCTGCCACTCCTACTACAAATGTCAATAGTGTGTCTATCTATCTATATATATAAATATATATATATCCAATTACATATCTCTAAAACATTGTTCACCATCCTGCCACTCCTACTACAAATGTCAATAGTGTGTCTGTCTATCTATATATATATTATATAAATATATATATATATCCTATTACATATCTCTAAAACATTGTTCACCATCCTGCCACTCCTACTACAAATGTCAATAGTGTGTCTATCTATCTATACACACAAATATATATATCCCTATTATATATCTCTAAAACATTAATCACTATCCAGCCACTCCCACTACAAATGTACCGGTATGAAAAAGAGCGCGTGGTGCATTGGTAAACGAACCAGATAACACATTATTTTAAAGAGAGAAATCAAAGCAGAAATACATAAAAAATTCATTCCGACACTTTCCGTGATTACAGCGGGGGTGAAACTGGTGTACTTACTAGTGCTTCTACCATAAGGAACACGCTGGTGTGATGAACGGTTTGGAAGATAATTATCGTTATTTCGCAGTCAAAAATTTGTTAATTAAACAGTGTATAAAGTTTTTTTTTATTACAAAATGTCTTATGCTCTGTAAAGTATGTAATTTATATATATATATATGTCCGTTTTTGCAGGATATATAAAATACCAATTACATGGTTATTGTACGTGGTGACTGGTGTTTGTTGTATGTATACATGTCTCAGTGATTCGCTGAAGAGCGATACGTATCATTTTAATACTCTAGAAATCATCATCATAAAATGACATGCATGATCCTATTTCAAGCACTTCATGTACACAGATATCAAATATGATGGGTAGAGCAGCACATTCTGATAAAATACTGGATATGATACTAACATCCCTCGGTCGATACGGTTTATAGATGGTCTGTCCGTATTTCCTTACTAACGTACGTTTCACGCAGTAATTTTGTGATGTGTGGCATTTAACACTTGCCTAGGGTGGACTGTCTGTCGGACCATTAGAGAAAACAATCGAATTAAGTTTAATGGAAGTATGATTTCCAGTTGAGCGGGTTTTTTTCTTTCAGACTTTACTTGTCGCTCATATCTCCTGCCATAAATGCCATATGTTCGCCTGGCTACGCTCACCCAGAGGTCTGAACAGTTGACGTGCACCACATTACCTACCGGTCCACACTTTCTACATAACACATTCTCTACCACGCTTTCTTATCTCATCTGAACATCACAGAAACAAAATATATATGTCAAACTGCTCTAAGTCGTAAAGACATTTTTCTGTTCACTTCCTAATTTTTTCATTGATGAGTTTGGACACTACCTATCAATCCCTTATCCAATCAGATAGCTCGATACACGACGGGTCGGTCGTATACGCGGAATCAATAGCAGGGCTCTCACGCTACCTTTGTGTGTGTACATTAGGGCCTGAGCTTGTTATGTTTCTCGCATTGTGTGACAAGTAACCGCCCGGTACACGTCGGTCTGACTAGGTATATACAAAGTTACAGAGAGGTTTTGTACAGCTACTCACAGCACTCAGCAATACGTTACCTAGTCGGATATAGTGCGATGTTGTTCTGTTCTTCACCAGGCATAAACTTTAATGACGGTCCGGCGTAAAACACGGTTATAATTGTATAAAAGGATACAAATTCTAGAGTTGATGCGGAAACTAAAATTATTTTGGAGTGAATGTGAGCTGCTTTCACACATGTAGTTTTGTTTTCATCTACTGAAACGTATTTCTGGAATGTGCATTCTTTAGATTGTGTGTAATTGTCTGAAACCCTAGATATAAAATGTAAAGTGCTATTGTCTAATGGAGCAATTATATCCATAGGAAAGGGGTGTGTTCGATTGGGAGAATCTTGACATTAAATCTTCGTAAGAAGCGCAGGACAACAAACTCAAAATCAATTTCAGTTCCGTTGATGTTACGTAAGTACTTACATGTGTTTCTCGTTACTACCAATCACATATTTGGTAAATAAAAATTCGTCCCTCTTGGATTTGTTGAAATTTAATGTTGTTGAAGGATACTAGTGGATTACTTTTCGAATTTCTGCTGTGAGTTATAAAAAGGAGCCTTATGATCTGCACTATTAGTATTTGCTTTGAGTATATGGCTAACATTTTATCCCGTAGTGAGGGAGAAATTACAAACTGACAATATTTTTTAAATCATGTTTAACTTGTGATAAAAAGTTGTGGAGAACGAATTGGATCCTAAAGAGTATCCCTCTGGATTTTATTTCTAATCAGTGTAGCTGTTACATAGGTGGGTATATCACTTTTGCTGCATGAAGGGAAACGCAGTTGTGGCCATGACATGAGGAAGGTTTACCCTCGAGGCCCTCTGAGTTATTTCAGAAGAAGTAAATTCTGCTCAATAGTTTTCACCATAAGCTTCATATTTTTATGTTTTGTATTTATCATATATGAAAATGGCAATGTCGTGGATATACCATCTTATGACAGTCCAGCAGATCGAGAAGCATTCAATCAACTTGATCAAAATTATAGAAAGCTACCCACAGAGCTAAATGCCTTGGATTTCTTCGGTTCGCGTCGACATAACAGAAATCTACAACATTTATATTCTAAGGATTTATTTGATGAAAAGCGAAATAACGATTTAACTACCATGATTTATAAAAGGGGAAGGAACAAGATGAAAAGCGAGGGGAAAAATGCCTCCAAATCGAGACAACGTGGAGTTTTTAATGTGCCAAAGAAAACAATTGGAGAGAAGGTTGGAGACACGCCCTCCAGTCAGGAGGTAACTGATTACTACAACTTCGATGGCTATCGAACTACAAGTAGTGATGAAAGTGTGGAGTCCGAACGGCTTGGCGGGCCAAGTAAGAAATTACCGAAAGCAATTATCATCGGAGTGAAGAAATGTGGTACGAGAGCCTTACTAGAATTTTTAAGGATTCATCCGGAGGTCAAGGGCACCGGTCCTGAACCCCATTTCTTTGACCGTTACTACGACTATGGGTTGGATTGGTACAGGTAAATTCAATTACACTATGGCACTACATGATTAACAATTTACAAGGCCGGTCTAGGACTCAAAAAATACATGTCCTCTAGGTTATTTTTTCCTTTCCTTAAGATTGATTTTAAGATCAATGTAAGAATGTAAGGGAAGCAGAAATCCGCCTATTCTATGCAACCCTGTGTGATTTTCGATTGCTTTTATGTGATCGTAATTGATATGTATTCATTTGAATCCATATCTAAAAGAAACAAAACCTAATAAGAGTGCCAATGGCATATAACACACACAACCACGCATAATGATCTGATAACGTGTATATCAGTAACATATATTGGTAGGTCACGAAATAATGACATACAGCACCGAAGTGTCACAGTCCATGGCCCACCTATGTTCAATGGTGTCACTGAAGGTGTCCTATCGGATTCACGTATCAGTATTTAACAAGAGTTTACAGATACTGTCAAAATTACCCTGATTTATGCACGTCATCATAAGTGGATAGGTACAGTGTTCAATATTTAAGAATCTTTAAAACTATTAATTATTACAATTTAATCCATTTAATTTTTCTAAAGGCGATTTTCATGTCATTAATTTGTATCCTGTCATGTTGCAGAATGTCAATAGTTTTTAAAGGGGCACTAGTATTCGGTTCTGACACCAACTCGTCCCACTTGCTTGTTTACTCTATATTCTGTCGCACTTCCGGATTGATTTAAGTACATATTTTACATTATGTTTGGTACTTGTCGTTTAGGTTGTTATATTCTGGCATCGCCACATTTATATTCTTATATTTCTTCCGATCATTTTGGATTTCCCCAAACGCCTCCTTGGTTTGATATTTATGCTCTTAGGATCACTGAGGAGTCCTAGAAGGACAAACAACTGTATGGTGCAGTTTAAGTCATTGTTTGGCTCTTTTCTGTATTAAATATTTGTATTAACTTGTGTCCCTTAGTAAGTTGAATAGTAAAACTCGTACTTGAGGCAGCTAGTTAATCTATTGTGAAGTACGTGCACAGTCACTATATTTTAACTGGACAGACCCATGACTGTGTCCCGACAACAAGCTGATTTTGATATCGGACAAGCATGCATATATATACGATCATTACAAAGGCAAGCATCTGCCTCATCTATGTAAATCTTTCACATTAAATGGAGGAAAATTCGTTTGATTTTCACATATTGGTAATATCAATGAAGTGCAAGTGGTTTTCAAAAGCATTATACATGTCGCTGTGTCATCCGCAGTTGATGAAGCCTTGTAGCTGTTATCACAACGGAGCACTATGTAGCCCTTTACTTAACACAGATATAATAGGCATGTAGGACCACAGATAACTAGTAGAACGGTGTCTACATTATATAATAACAAATTAGGTATGCTGGGCCACAAATTACCTCTCGTAAGTTAGTTCTTAGTCTACCTTATAAAGACAGAAGACAATCTTGGCTACAAATTACTTGATAAAGACCGTTCTTCCTCGACTAAATTATAGGCAGTAGGTAGGTCTATACTGGGCAACAAATCACTTCAGTCAGACAGACGGCATACTGGGCTACAAATACCCTTTTACAAAGCATTTCTTTCTCTATATATTATACTCAAGGCCTGCTTGGCTACAAATACTTTCTTATAAAACTCCCTCTTTCTGTATTATTCCCAAGGCCCGCTTGGCTACTAACATCTTGTGTACACAAATAGTACAGCCTAGATTTGTTGGGCTATATGTAACCTTTAATACGACCTTTAATATCCTCCACATTACATACTTTCACATCGCATAACTAGCTAGAAAATAAAAACAAGACAACACGAATATGTTAAACTCTTAATTCAAACTTCAATGTGAAACGAGTGTAAACTATCAAGTAACAAAATTTGAACAGAGGCCTTAAAATTAAAGGGAGAAAAAGACCAGTTATTCCGTAGACGTACTTAACTTCTGTTTTAATGCTAAGAGGAGAAAATGTCAAGTCCTCAAAATGAGAACTGAAGTATTGATAGTCGAAGTACCAATTAAACCCGTCCTATACTCTGTATATCAGAGACGTTCAGGGAAAGCATGTGTTCCTTTCCCTGTGTTCAGTTTATAATGCTTGTTAGATTATAAACTGCCTTTACTTAATTGTTATTCATGTCCACAAAGAAAAATTGGTATAATGTGCAGTATAATATATTGGTCAGTGCAATTATTACCTTTGATATGTCCTTACGTGATCGATATCTCACTTAACTTAGTACGTCAGTTATCTGACGATAACAATGTCCTGTATTCTGCTCTATCCTGATGGACTTCGGACCGTGCTAGTCAGTGACGTCAACAACATATCTGGCTATTTATTTCAAGCATTTAAACGAATTCTTGAGTTAATGGTTTTGATGAGGATAAAAAGGATATGACATTACAATTTCTACTCGATCATATGAAAAAAACGGGAAAAATGTATATACTGTCGATAAGTTTATCCAAAATGCTTGATAAATGTTTGATTCTACTATGGATGTTTTAGTGACGATATTTTCTTTGATGTGTTATATATAGAGATTATGTATCTGTATTTTCTACAAGATTGATAACACAGTTTAAATGCAAAGAAATAACGTCAATCGAAGGAATCGAACTCCAGTCACCCGGGTAAAAAACGAACGTGGTTTCCTCTGCTCTGCCAGACTACTTAGCTCGGTGCTTTTAAGGACGTTGAATTGTGGGTATTTTAGTGGCCGTAATTTGGTGTGGAGATGGCTATTTTAGAATCATTATCCGCTTAATTTCATTTTTGTGTCCGTCAAATATTTTGTTAGTCAATAAAGGCAATTATTGAATTTTCACAAATTCTGAAATTTCATATGCGACGTGTTATTCTTTCTGCCTCGTTCATTCCATTGACATTCAATGTTTTATCGTATTCAATGTATTGACTTTTCCTCTGAACTGAAGCCGTATGGCCTTCGGGACCCTTCCTTATCAAATCTTGTCCATCTAGCACTTTATTGGTAGGACTTCTTTAATGCTTGTAATGCATTTTTAGTTTTTTTTCTCTTCGTACATTTTCTATATTCATGTTGTTCTGTAATGAAGTGAACGTCATCCAGACTTCGTCAAATCTATCTCATGCATACTCGCTCTCAATGTTACATACATCTGTGTCATTTTCTCTTAGATGGGTCGTTTCTCACCTATATGTACTCATATAAAAACATCAAAGTGTTTTTTCTCCAGCACATGTAGACGATTATATAAATACACGCGCATTACAGTCTACAGAGTTCCACGTTCGTTGTATAAGTGCTTGCAACACGCAATATTCTATGTATATTTGCCGGCATTTAAACACGTGCTCACGTGTCTATAAAGATGATTTTTTGTTTTTATATATAGATAACCGTTATACGATATAGAACATTATCGTGTTTGTTTCACATGTTACATCTGAAGCGTCAGACATTATGATCGATGATCACTAGATTAAATATAACACATGAAAATAAACCTATACTGTACAATGCTTAATTTTCGTGGGGGATTTATTTTTATTGATTTGTAATCTTATGTTCAGGAAAGGATATACAGTTATAATTGGCATTAAGTTTACTGCTTTTAGATTTCCTAGATGCTATTTAATCACGAAATTGAGTACAAACGAAACTGGACTGCAAAAATTAATCGTCTAAAATTATCCGATTCTGAAGAAATTTGTATTTGGTTTATTTTCACATTTTATTTCAACTACTTATTTATCTATTCATTTCCAAAATATAACAACGTTGAAAAGAAATTATATTTTGTAAAACTGATTAAGACGGACGTTATAAATATTGTTTTAAATTTAATTATAGGAATCAAGACAAGGTCGAGGTTAAAATAGCATCTCGGGTCACTGTAATCACATTTTGACTGAAATTAATTATTTCAATTGTAAACTAATATGGACTAGTGACATTTTTAATTATCTTAGAATATAATTACATTTAAGGACCCGTTCTTCGGTTAGCATTGATTTTCATGAGGTTACAACTAAAGCAATATAAATAAACAGTACAAGGAAAGTTTATATATGCATCAAAGAATATTGATACGTTCCATCATCAAGTTATTGTATCTTAAAGGGTCATCCATTGACTATACTCACGAATAGTTACAATAACAGAGGAAAAACAGGCTGTAGAGAGAATATATACTGCATCCGCCAAGATAAACACGATTCTACAGAAACGGTGTTAAGTCTGGTCCACAAATTAAGATATAGTAAATATGTCAGCATTAGAAGATAGTGGCCTTCCTCTTTAATTCCTCTTTACCTTTAATTGCTTTCTTTCCTAAAATTAATTTGTGTGAATCTCATTCCTAGATCAGGGATTTTCCTCAGTCTCCTCCTAAGCTTCAAAATTTATACCTTAGCATCACTGACGAGTGCCGTTTAATTCATTGTTTGGTTCTATATAACTCTATATTTATATTAAAAGGTGCTATTCACTTGTGTTTTTTATACAATCTATGAGTATATACAGTACATACTTTTTATATCTCAAGTCTGGTGTTAAACATGTGTGTATCATGTGTACTCAATATGCAACAAACAATTTGATTTATAAACCAGTAAACTGACATTGATGATGTGTGAACAGACAGACTAATTATAACACTATCATTTGTGGGGATATATATGTATATATTCATTGTGTTAGTGAAGACTGGCTATGTTAAACATAAGCGATAACACAGAAGGGACACTGAAGACATATCGATGCGTTTTACACATTTTAATTGCGTCCCAAATGTATTGTTAATCTATAATCACATTGCTTTTATTTGCAATGATAAAGTGTTTGCAGGCAATACATTTTTCGATTTTTTGGTAATTCATCGTAGAAATGCAGTTTCATTTGACACGGTGATATATAGATTTCTGCTCATTTACAATTAGGTTTTGTCTTTTCATAGCTTTGCGATTCTTCCATAATATTTTTTGAGCATTAGGAGACATCTCTTACACTCAT